GAATGGTATTAGTGAGAAATTTCTTAGGCGGAGAGGCCATTTTGGCACATTTATCCAAAAATGTCACCAAACTGTGCCAAATATGTTTTTTACATCAATACTGGGGGTTTGTTAAAATTACGAGGTCACGTAGCAGCTGGACCCACCGGTGGGTCCGTTGAGGTTCTAGGGGTTAAAGTTTTCTTTAAAATCAGAATTAGAACTGAAGAAAAACTGATAAATTCAGCTGTAAAAGTATTTTTTTAATTTGTTTTGAAAAAAACAGATGAAAGCTGGAATCCTATCTCAATATCACTGAAGCTATCACCTTACTGTTTTTAAATAATAAGTCAAACTGAATTAAGAAAAAAAAAAGGTTATAGATCCAAAGGACCAATGAGAAACCATGTCAGCTCCAGCACACATCAGCATTAGAATTTCTCGTAGTATAATGTCTTTAGTACACGGGCCACAATCTTGTTACACCATTTCTACACCAAAGGAAATGTCAGAAGTGTTTTACCTCAGCAAAACTAGAATGTTGCTCAGTGTTTCAAAGAATTTACAGATTGATGTAAAAATCTGCATCATATAGAAATAAAGTTTGCAGTATGTGATTTAGGTAGTGATATCATCCATCCATCCATTCTCCATCACGCTTTATCCCAGCTGGGGTCGCGAGGGGTGGTGGTGCCCATCTCCAGCTGTCTACAGGCGGGGTACACCCTGGACAGGTTACACACACTCACACCTAAGGAGAATTTAGAGAAGCCTATTAACCTAACAGTCTTGTTTTTGGATTGTTGGAGAAGCCAGAGTACCTCTTTGTAAGCAAACCCACTTGACACAAAGCATGAAAGTAACATGAACTTCTCTGACAGCAAAGCCACAGTTGCTTTCATAATGAGCAACTCCACATTATGCAATATTGCAGGAAAATATCACCAACCATAGTTTAAATAAAAATAAAAGCGTCTTAGAGCATTTATTATGAACAAGTCTGTGTGAAAGGGTGGTAAAAATGTATGTGGGACACAATTATATTACATATTTTTTAAAGTAGTGGCGAAAAAAGGTCTTTAAACATATATGACAGTTTAAAAGACTTCATGTTCAATTAAAGAAAACAAAAACATTTCTCCTTTTTAAAGGCTGAAAAAGACAAATATTTACTCATTGGTATTTAAATAAAATATTTATAGGATATATTTTTTTTTGTGTACAGAAAATGCAACCCAAGCATTCATAGAGTGCGTAGCCACCATTTGCTTAAAAATGTTTATTCAGTTTTGATTTTATTTTAAAAAATGAGTTTACTGAAATATTTACATGACAACAGAGGAGGCTGTTAACGAAATAGAATGGCCATGAAAACTCTTGGTTGTAGAAAAACATCGGCATCTCAGAGACAAACAAACAGAGTGTATAACTTGATCAGACATATTCCCCACAGTCTGAGATGATCACTTTCTGTTTTGGCTTGCCATCCTTCGTCCCCTGAGCCTGCAAGAGGAAAACAAAGTCTGGGTTTGTTTTCTGAATAATCGATTTACATTAAAGCACATGCACTAAAGGCATCTGCTGTTCTTTCCAGATTAAAATATCTTTTTTACTCACTTCCATTGCACGTAACACATCTAGCCCCTCCACCAGATCTCCGAACACCACGTGTTTCCCATCCAGCCAGTCAGTTTTGTCCGTTGTGATGAAGAACTGAGAGCCATTTGTGTTTGGTCCAGAGTTAGCCATGGAGAGCTGGCCTGTGTGAACGGGCATAAACCCTCAGTCCAAAATGATTTGGATCAAAGAAAAAAAAGGCTTAGTGCCAGACCCTTTACCTGGAGCTGTGTGTTTGAGGACGAAGTTCTCGTCATCAAACTTTCGACCGTAGATCGACTTGCCTCCGGTGCCGTTGTGGTTGGTGAAGTCTCCTCCTTGGCACATGAACTGAGGGATAATGCGATGGAAGCTGCTGCCCTTGTAGCCAAAGCCCTTTTCATGTGTGCATAAGCAGCGGAAGTTCTCTATTTAAAATAAATACATGAAATGTTATTAATAACATTTATATTTCACTCATAGTTTAATTTTAAAGCTGTTGGAACCAGAAGTTTTCCTTTCCTGTAACATCAAAGGTTCTAACAGGATAGAGTCATTTTTCACATGTTGGTGTTGGAATCTGGAGGCGTCTAAAAGCCCACCATTATTCCTGAGCTTTAATCAGTCTGGCGCTACCTAGACATTACCCCGTGCTTTGGTCAGTTCAGTTCAAATCAAATAGAGATCTTATATTTAATAAATATAGGCTAAAACAGATTAGCATAAAAACATTAAAATGCCACAAACAGGAAAAAAAATAACTTATTTTATATTAAGAGAGAAAGAAGGGTAACATTCACTGGATTATGAGTCAGGCCTGAAAAAATGTATTTAACAACGTTTACAGACCTACTGTCATTGGAACAATGTCGGCCCGGAGGAGGAAGCGCAGTCTTCCTGCTGGCTTGTTTCCGATCTTTATATCCATGTAGACCTGTGGATTTACTCTGCCCTTTTTAGCTGGTGGCTCACCCTGTAAAAAAAAAAAAAATAAAAAAATCATTCTTAGCTTATTTAGCCAAAATATTTAACATTGAAAACCCACAGATCTGGATTCTAACAAACCTTTTATATCAAAATTAAACATCATGTTCTTAGATTTGTTAGGGTTTTTTTTAGCCCGAATTTAAAAATGCACACATGGACAAAATTGTTGGTAGCCCTTGTTTAAGGAAAGAAAAACCCACAATGGTTAAAGAAATAACTTTTAACATAGTAAAAATAATAAGAAATAAAAATTCTATGAAAATGAACAAATTAAAATCAGAGATTTCTTCACAATCATGCTTAAAAAAATTATTTAAAATAATAAACTCCTAAAACAGGCCACATGTTTATCTATAAATACATAAACTCACTATGTTATTATGGTCGAAATTTCTACAGTGTTCAGGCTTGATGTGAAACCTCTGAAAAGGCCAGAAGACCAGATAGAAGTCTAGGGTTGCAACTAACTATTATTTTGCAAATCGATTAATCTGTTGATTATTTTTTCGACTTATCGATTAATAATCCAATAGCAAAAAGGTTCCTTAAAGAAGATTTTAAACTAAATTTAACCGGTTGAAACTAAAACCTTACCACTTGAGGAGTTCTGGATAGAGCATATTGACAGACGAAAAAATTGTTTTTTTTTATCTTAAATGTAAAATGTTTATATATTATTTTTACAATTATGATATAATAACTGCTCTAAGGGGGTCACTCTGTCAGCTAAATCACATTTTACAGTCTCTGTACTACCAGTTAATGATTAGTTGACAATTGTATGAATAATCGATTAATCCGATTAATTATTTCAGCCCTATAGATGTCAATCATCAGATAGATAATGGACCAACGGGTGGATGGAAAACAGAGGGAATAATGATAGACATGTACAGAGAAATAAATGTTTAGATGTATTTTTTCAGAGAATGAGATATAGAACCAATTAATAAAAGATGTTCCATATCCTGCTGAAATCAAATGAGTTGGATTGAAAAAAAAAAATTTAAATGTCTAGATTCAATATGAAAATGGTGTATAGCTACCTTTTCTTAAAGCAGACCTGTAAGGGATTTTATATTCAGTTATTTCTAAAATCACCACCCCACATCCAAAATAGTTTCCGAAAGAGTTTCTATGTTAGTCACATTGATTTAATTTAAAAACTATTTTTTGATAACTTATTAAGAGATAAGATTTTGGGGCACAGACTTAGAAACAGATACAGTGCAATCAGGGCTTCTTTTCTTTCATAATACAGCTGCACTTGTCCTTGTTCCTTTCTACATAAAAGCATATCTGCCTCGATGAAACCGAAATGCTAACCTGTTCTATTCAGATTATTCACAATTTTATCCCAATTTTTGCTTCATGTTTTACATCTAAACCTGTATATAACCGTTAAATGCAAGTTCCTAAAAGAACATACTCAAAAGAAAGATTTCACTGCATCTTCACTTTCATGGAACTGGTCATGCTTCACTTGAATCATGTCTATTTTTCCTAAAAGCATATTTATGAGTAAAAGAAGACGTTTGCTGAAAATATGTCATCAACTCCAGAAATAAAGATCTTACCTCCTGTGTTGTGGTGGCTGCCTCTCCTGATGCTGCCTCTGCCTCAGCTTCCTCCACAGTTTTCCCTGAGAACTTTTTCAGCCAGTCGTCATCCGACCACACTGTGGGAAAGACAGGATTACAGAACGGAGCAGCCATCTCAGAGAAAAGGTGTGTAGCAGGAGTCTGAGTTTATTACCAGGTCGAGAAGAACCCTCTTTGATTCTCATGGGCTTAGCGATGTTGACACGGATGGTCCGTCCAAAAAGCTCAGACTCGTTCTAATGAACAATTCAATTCAATTCAGTTCAGTTTATTTATATAATGCCAATTCAAAACACATGTCATCTTAAGGCACTTTACAGTTCACGGGATCATACAGTCACATTGATTCAAAGTTTTCTATCTAAGAAAAACCAGTTGATCGCATCTACTTATTGACTTGAATGCAATCCCCTTACACTAAGCATGCTTGTAGCAACAGTGGAGGAAAAACTCCCTTTTAACCGTAAGAAACCTCCAGTAGAACCAGGCTCAGTGTGAGCAGCCATCTGCCGAGGCCGACTGGGGTTCAAGGAGTCAGAAGCAGACATACAAAAAGCAGCTGTTAAAGGCGGCCCCGTCCAGGAAACACACAGACAGGCAGACAAGCTTCGAGACAGATGATGAATAGAGCACATCCAGCCAGTCACAGTCAGAGAAACAGGACTACACTGAAAAATAGGCCAATCTCCAACATCTATAAACAAAGATGTTGATGGCAGCAGCACAGCTGATATTTCTCTCCAGGATGGAGTCACAGCCAAACAGGAACAGAGGAGGTTTTTATCAAAGCTAGGATAAAAGCAGAGGGAGTGTAAGGTTAGCGATTGAACTAACGGATTCTGCAGTGTGGGAGAATAGAGATATATTAGGATAAATGTTCTATATGAAGTTTCACCTCACCACACATTTCTGTTGCCATCAATAAACATATGTTTGATCACTCTTTCTATATAAAAATGTAGTCTATTTGATTGGTTGTATTTTTGATGCAGATTTTTTTAATTGTAGTCCATAAATATCGAGCTTGATTGAGGACAGGATATTTCCAGTCTCCCAACCACTCTCCGTTAGCTTTAATCGCACATTGAAACATTCCTTTGTGCTTGTGTAAATTCTCTGTCATCCAGCCAGGTCATGTCGACCACAAAGAGGCTCAAATCAGAGGCAGCCAGACTTTCACACTTTCACGCATTTTGACACTTATCCAGAAGTCTTCATTAGCTCTGTCAGCTGTCAGTAGAGGAACCTGCAGTTGGAGTATGATGTTTTCAATCACCTGGAGGCACATCCTCCTAAGCACATTCCAAGTTGGATGCCAACATGGTTTATTTTATCTGGCCTAATATAGCTCGGAGTGCTTGGATTCCTACATTGAAACCAAACAACAACTATTTAAATGAATGAAAGAACTGACAAATATGATGAAGTTTTGAAACATTTTCAAAACAACTGAGTAAAACTGCAGTCGCCTCTGATTTAAGCCTGTTTTGTCGAAGTGATCCTAAAACCACAGAGGTTGATAAAGTGATTACAATTCTGCTCGGACGAAGTGTCAACTTTCTGTTTAGGTCTGGAGGACAGAAGTCTAAGCCTAGAGCAACATAACTATAGAGATAGCTTAGGGCAGAAATCAAAGAAGTAGAATAAGAATACCAGCAATATTTTTCAAGGACATCAGAAAGTAAAAGCAAACTTTCACTGCTTACCATGTTATCAATGGCTGCTGCGGCATCCTGCAGAACAAGAACACATCAGCCATTTAATCATGAAACAAATGTTGCAGAGACAGGATCTATTTACATTTCTTCACACACCTCTGGCAGCTCAAACTCAATGAATGCAAATCCTCTGTGCTTTTCTGAAAATTCAACATAACACAATTATTAGGTCTGTGCCCCCCTTAATCCTTAGCAGCAAAAAAGCATGTGCACTTACCCGTTTCATAGTCTAGAGGTATCTGGATGTCTATGATGTCTCCAAAGGGAATGAAAGCAGCATGCAACACCTTTTCATCCACCTCCTCCGCCAAGCCACCTCACAGAAAACACACAATACAGACACTCAGCACAACACCCACAAAAAATATGCTCTTTATATTGTCAATATCAAATCTTTACCGAGATTCGGCGCTGGATATTTGTCAAATATTTATATTTATCTCTATATTTCTATATAATAATACCATCAAGTCAGGAAATCCTCTAATGCTTAAGCAGTTGAATGAGTTAATGCACATTTCCTCTTTTTAGATAATTAGCACTCTATAATGTTTACTTTTATTAAGAATTAATTAAAAACGGGACAGCTCTTTATTCCTAAAATACATAAATCCTCTTAATATTTTGGAAGAGTAAAAAAAAAAACTATAAGACTTACCGACATAAAGCACTCGTTTGCTGGCCGCCATATTGGATGTAACCTTTCAACTTTGATCGCGCCCTCTGATTGGTTGTTTGGATAAACGATCCCCGCCTTCAGGCTCTTGTTGGCTACAGCGCCTCTTAGTGGTAGCTCCCGTAACTACCACTCACATGAATCTAACTTTAGAGGATTTTCTTAAAAAAAAAACATATATTGTCCCGTTTATTTATTTATTTTTTTTAATGAAATAACTGGTTATCTCTTGCTTTACTTTTTCGTTCTGCAAGAGTTCCAAATTCGGAATTGTGAACACAATAATGCTGATATTTTGCTCAATATTATTCAAGATACATTTAAATAACTAAATTCAGTGAATATTCTAAACTGTACCTGTTTTATAATAAAACAATCATATTATACTGCTTTATATAACTGTATACATAAGTATTCGCCTTTTTAGTCTTTATCATGAACCCCTTATTTGCTCATTTTTATTAGCTTTCCTCAAAATAAACCGTATTTTAATTTTTGTACATTCTAAAATAAACAAGTATTGGATATAAAAAGCTCCTGTAACAATAGTAAAAATTATAATAATAAAACCTGCAACATGAGCTTGTTTAATCTTCCATTTAGGACATGCTTAAAATTAGGTCATAAACATTTACATCCCCAGGAAGCTAAGAAAATGTCTTTCATGTTTCTCAAATAACCTTTTTTTCACATTGCTTCTGGAGTTACAATACTCAAAATAGTAATCTGAAAAGCCTTTCTGGCACATTTAGTTATACACAACCTAACTTATTCCAAGACAGTTCAAGCAGACAAATTGAGATACGATTAAAAGCACAATAATTATAACTAAATGATATTAGTTTACCATCCTGGGAATTAAGAAACTCCTTTAGTAGCTTATTCAAAGTCAACAGTCTTTTGCTGCAGATTTCAATGTACATTTTTCTATAGAGCTGTGTCATGTCACTAGGGAGTGCTGGCCTAGTGGTTAGAGCAGTGCGCTTGTGCTCTGAGAAGGTTGCAAGTAGCCGATTTGATCCCCACAGCCTGCACACTGGGTTTCTGAGCAAAAACCCCTAACCCCACACTGCTCCCCTGGTGCCACAAAATGGCAGCCCAGATGGTGAATTCCCCCATTTTGGGACAATAAAGAGATTTACCTTGCACTATCTAAAATTGTAATATATATGTACAGTGGGTAGCAAGAAGGTTCTGGGTTCAATTCAGTGCATGTTCTCCCTGAGCATGCATGAGTTCTCTCAACATTCTAAAAACAGGACTGTTAGGTTAATTGGCTTTTTTAAATTCTCCTTAGGTGTGAGTGTGTGTGTGAATGTCTGTCCTGTTTGTCTCTGTGTTGCCCTGCAATGGACTGGCAACCTGTCTCACCTGTACACAGCTGGAGATAGGCACCAGAACCCCTCGCGACCCCATCTGGGATAAGCGTGATGGAAAGGTGGCGGCCTAGTAATGAGGGGTATTGCGCTGGGATCCAGATGTTCTGAGTTTGAGCCCCATAACTGCTCCCCACTGCTCCCCAAGAGGATAGGTTAAATGCTTTGTTGTCGTGACAGTGTAATGACATTAAAAAAGCTGGAAATGTCCAAAGATTTCAAAGCACTGCACCACCCAATCATGCGCCACATGCTGACTGCAGTCAGCTACATAGCTGCCCTGAGGAAGACCAATAAAATCCCTCTGATAACAACCAACTGTACAACTTTCAAAAATGTTCCCTTTTTTTTAGATTAAAAAAAATGTTACATGAAATATTTAGCCGTTTACAACTTATCATAAAATTCTAGCACATTTTTCCAATATGTATAAAAAATTGACCATCAACTAACATTTCTTTCCAAAATATTGAAGTAAATTATCAAAAGTTTCAGTATAATTCAGCTTATTTCTGTACTGTAACTATAACAGCAGCATGTCCAACATAATGAAATGAGGACATTATGTTGGTCTTTTATTCAAGATCTCAGGACACAAAGTATAATTGACTCAATGAAGCATTTCAATTAAAACAACGACAAATGTATTTATCATAACTTTATTGTATAATATCACACACCTTTAATAACATAAGAAGCTGAGCAGCCTGAAATCAAACGAGATGAACTCCAACAAAAATAAAGAATGAGGTGTTTTTATGTCATAAAAAGGTTTCTTGCCTTGAGTCTGTGTTCAAAACTCTTTAATACTAATGTAGTGTGTAATTTAAATTATTGCTGTAACTAGAAAATGTATTCTCTTCAACAGATTTTAATACTTTAATCTTAGTAACATTAACCCTTTTTCACTAAACCTTAGCATGTCTGTTTTATGGTTCTAGGCTCTTTAGAGTCATTGCAGAGTATCTTGTGTTTCCTTCCTTGTTTGCTCAGTCCTGAAACAAAACAATAATCTCATTAGTAACACAGCGAGATGCATTTAAATAGACCAAATATGATTCAGTTTCTTTTTCCCATACCAAGTTAATAGCATCTCCAGTTTTTAGGATGTAGCAGCAGTAGTTGCCATGCCACCTACTTTCTGGGTGGCATCTTTTTTTGCTTGGTGGGCCTGCAGAACGGCAACTGCTTCCTCCACCTAAATTAACCAAAAAGAAGTAAGAAAGTTTAAAAATTGCGCAGAAAAAATATTTCTCTGTCTATAAAACAGGATAAGGTAAAATTAGCTTTACTCGATGCGCTTTATCGATTCGAATAAATTAAATTACACAGATTAAATGTTTTCATCTAAAGAAGCACAATAGATTGCGTTCACTCCTCCTGAATCAGCATCTAAAAATAGTTACTTTTTTATGTCTTCAACTTCACAGTATTAATCTTTCCTACCAATAATGCATATAGCGACAGTGGAGGAAAAAACTCCACTTTAGCAAAAAGAAAGATTGAGCTGACAGAACAGACATGCATTAAAAAACACAGGCGCACTGATCTAGGAATAATTTGTATGTGAGAGAAAGTAAAAGGTTGGTTGTGGTAATATTTCCCACAGTGGATTCACCCAGACAGAAACACAGCTTAGCAGATGAGCTCAGAACCAGGGCTGCACTAACAATTATTTTACAAATCAATGAATCTGTCAATTATTTTTCTATTAATCAATTAATAATCTAACATAAAAAGGTTCCATAAAGACAACATTTTACGAAATTAAACAAAATGAAACTTAAACGTTTGAATATTTTGAATAGAGCATATTAATTTTTTTATTTTTATTAAATGCCTGTTTACATATTTATTTTTACAATTTTGGTATTATTACTGCTCTAAGTGGGTCGCTCTGTCAGATAAAGACACGTTTTAGAGTCTCTGGACTCAAGTGAATGATTAATCAATTACCAAATTGGTTAACAATGATTTCAAAAATAAATTAATCCAATTAATTGTTTCAGCCCCACTCGGAACCAGTCTTTTATTCTGGAAGGCTAAAGAGAGCACACAGTTTTGCTGCCTTCGGGTGGTCTGGTAATGAGGATCCTTTCCGCTTAAACCAGCGCATTGTGTTCAAGTGCTTTCGTCGTGGTAGGCAACAGAATCATGTTGGATCCACAGATTATCATGACCTGCTACTTGGACAAGGCAGTAATAGACTTCCTGATTCATCTGCTACAGGAAGAGGAGGATTCATCAAATTCACCAACTGACTTCTGACGAAAACAAACAATAACTGTCATTTAAAAAAAAAAATACAAGTTTAAATGGATATATATACATATACACTATATTGCCAAAAGTATTTGCTCACCTGCCTTGACTCACATATGAGCTTAAGTGACATCCCGTTCCTAATCCAT